ATTGAACTCAGGACCACTGGAAGAGCAGCAAGTGCTCTTAACCTTTAAGCCATCTCTCCAGCCCCTTGGGGGGGGGTCTCTTCTAACCCACTTACATACTGAGCTTAAAGCTGAAGTGTGACGTTGCTTGTTCTCATTTTCTATTAAACACTCTGTGGCTGTAAAAGACCACTCCTGAAACTCAACTTTCTGTGATTATTATGACATTTTGAAGAAAGGAATTTAAATCCCTCCCCCAAACCCCAGCAATGGGCATATGAGACAGGGTTTTCTATAGATGGTACCAAGGGCAACTGTCAGAGGGAAATGATATCTTTCCTAACTCTTCAACCAAGTAAGCAGCAACACTCACTTGTCTTGATGTCCTTTTAAAATGTCTGTCCAAGGACGAGACGGCTCAGTAGTTAAGAGCACTTGTTACTCTTGCAGAGGACCTGGGTTCAATTCTCAGCACCTACACAGTGGTTCACAACCATCCATAGTTCCATTTCCAGGGGATCTAAAGCCCTCTTCCGACTTCCACGACACTAGGTACATACACAGTGTAGACTCAGGCAAAACATTCACACATGTAAAATAAATTAACTAATTTAATTAAATTAAACATCTGTTCAACTGTCATTGGAAAATTCAAGTTTATGGTAAGTCCTGCCATACACCCACCGCTCCTGAAATTGGCCCCTCGGAGGCTTCTCAAGCAGCGACAACTTACTAGCTCCTGTAGCAATTCCTTCACAGCTTCTACTTATAGAGGTCTCTGCCAAAGTCTTTGATAAACCCATAACCTGGGGACGGGATAGTTAAGATTGTGATTCTCCTAGCTCCTTTTCCATCACTTAAAGTAAATCTCGAGTTCTCTACGGGACCTTGAGAAGTAATTTAGACTTTTTAAGTATCATTTAATCTTATTTGTTGAAAGCTATTTCATAGAAGAATGGGGGGGGATAACAGTTTCCAGAAGTGTTTAATCCCTTTTTGAAAATAACCACTAATTATACCCCTATTCCCTAACCCCAAGAAAATTATAGACTTTTTAGGAGGTAATGACATTTTCAGTGAATCCAGCATATCCTAGAGGAAAACCTTACAATTTAGGATTAGTTAGGTAAAAATTATAGAAACTTTGTACAATCCAGAGAGTGTGCATTGCTAGTGTTGCTGTACATATTTGAAATCCTATTGGTTCTTATTGCAGGTGACATATTGCAATATACTAAGCAACACACATTTTGTATGTCCCATTTCCATGGTCATGGTTCTGAGGATATTTATTTAGTCTAACAAGGTGCTCTGGTCTCTCCCAAAGCTGAAGTCACAGTCTTGTTCCATCTGTACCTTCTTCTGGAGCTTGGGGTTCTCCTTCAAGTCCTCAAAGTCATTAGCAGAATTCAGCCTTTTGGCTTTAGGACAAATATCTTGGTTTTCTTAAAGTTTCATTACCCTAGACAGTACATTGATTTTGAAGACTGGGTTCGTTAACAGAAATCCCTACCAGTTATTATTTGTACACAGTGATTGTATAACCTGGTCCATAGATGATGGGTAAAAGAAGCTTTAGCAAAGAGTTTATTTTAAAGTAATGTACAGAAACCAAACTATTTCAAAAGAAAAAGCCAGGATTATGTTCTGTAGCTTTTAACATCGAGGATTTTGAAATTTCATCTGGTCAATTAAGTACAAAACAAATTAACCAAAACATACATTATGTATGTAGAAAAATATTAAAGTATATAATAAGGAAATGTGCTCGATATAAGTCTTTAAAAATTGAAAACACAAAGTAATTTTGAGCTTCATAACAGCCTTAGGGTTCACATTACTTGACTGTGATAAATTTGGAAGATTAGACATAGTCTGACTTGTTGTTCTTGCATGCTGACTGAGTTTCTTCCCTCTTTAACTCCTTCAAGGAGAGTTTAAAAGGTGTGTGTGTGTGTGTGTGTGTGTGTGTGTGTGTGTGTGTGTGTGTGTGTGTGTGCATATGAAGGTCAGAAGACAATCTGAAAGTGGTCTTTCCTTCCCATCTTGGTGTTAGGCAGGGTCTTTCACTGTTTGTGCTGCTGTACTGGGTACTCCAGGCTATCTGGCCTGCAGGTTTCTAGGGATTCCATCCTGCCATATGAGAGTGGGAACTAAGTTATCATGGCTTCACCCAGCTTTGTGTAGGGTCTTGAAATTTTGAGTCGGGTCTTCATGCTTGAGTGGCAATACTTAACCACTAAGCCTTTCCCAGGCCCATATTTTGCTATTTAAAAAAAAAGAACTCATTTAGCAACTTGATCATTCTTTACTTGTTTCTGCCTAAGTTGTACTTAAAGTTTCACTTTTACACATCAAGCATGGAGAGAAAAGATGAACACTTTGAAGAAATCACAGCTTTCTTGAGTCAGTCATTTGCTCCCTTCAATAAAGTTGGTTCAATATCAGGACTACAACCATGATTCCATTGTTCAAAAACTAAAATAAAATCTGCAGTCTTCAAAGTTTTGACATTAGTCATTGCTATTCTATTTCTGAGTCTTTCCTAACATGTAATTCATGCATTTGACTGAATTTAAAGTAGTAGAATTAGTGGCAGCTAAAAACTTCATTTGTGCAACAGAGGTTTGAATGACTTGGGAGATTTCTCTACACTTAAATATCTCGTCATTTACCTTTTTATTTGAAGGCTTTCCCCCCACTGTAGTTGATTCATAATACCTCGCTTATGTCACTGACAGGGAGTCTTCAGCTATGACCTCAGTGTACATCAACATGTTAGCACACTGACATGGTGTGGTCTGTAGACTTTAAGTACAACTTAGGCAGAAAGTTTTTTCAACAAACAACTATAATTAATGCCACTGGGACTAATGAATTTGTTTTTAATTCATATTGAGTAGGAATTAACCTAGAAATGATTTTATTCAGGAGTATGAATAGCATGAAATTGCACAGCCATCCATTTTATACTAACCAAAAATGTGCTAACTAGTTTCTCTTGGGATGAAAACCTTAAATTTTGTTATATCAGGGCATCTCTCTGTGAAGTCACAGATAGTGACATCTGTACAGGGAGTTTAAAAATCACGTGCACATGCGTACACATGCACGGACAGAACTTTTGGAACCCTTTGATAGGTTTCAGAACCTTTGATCAACATCTTTATCTTAGAGAAGGCCAAAAATGGCCACACTTTACATCCAGATGTATTTGGATATCATGTAATAGAATCAATTTAATCCCTGGTTAAAAAAATTAATGGACATGTTTAGGTATAGCCAAATAAGCTGACATTTGGGTAATGTCAGTATCTGTAAAATTGCTTGTCATAGTTAATGGTACTAGCAACCACTCAATGTCAGCTGCATATTAATATCAATAAACCTATTAATTATTTTTCTAGTTTTCCCAAATAATTCTTATACAATTGACAAAAAGAATCATAGGTAGACATGTATAAATGAATTTTTTCTTCTTTTGATTTGGTACAGACCAATTTTATGCTGGAAACTTGAGATCCCAGATTTGTCCTATGATATGGAGACTTGAAGTCATTTCTTTTATTTTTATGTCCAAATTTCTGTTGTCTTAACTGGCACCCTCCCAAAGGGATAGAGGCCTCCAGTTGTGTCTCTCAGCATGCTTGTGGGGAACACCATGAATCCAGTAACTACAAGGGACTGTTTTCTCATTATTTCCCCACTGTTTTTCTTTCCAAAGCATCTCCTAAATTTGAAGTGTTGTGCTCCTAGACTCTGAAGCAAAAAAATGCTATTTTTTAAAAAAGCTTTTGTTGTATTTTCTTAGCATAAAGGTAATATATGTTCATCACAGAAAAGGCAAGTAGGCAAAATGAAGGCAAGGTAAACCATAGAAATTTAGCTTGCCAAGGGAGCCATGGTTATAGTTCACACATATCTTCTAGTTCTTTCTCTGCATTAAAAAAACACTTAAATTGTGTTGTACATCCAGTAATTGATGTATTATAACACCCCATGTAATAATTGGTTTTTCAGTCAACATTATATTATAAATATCTCCCATGTCATTTTTCTCTTACAGTATTCTTTGCATTGGCTGGACCATATTTACTGAACCAATCCCAATTTCTTGCCTCTTAAGATTTTTTTAACTTTTATCTTTTCTTTTTTCTGTTCTATAAATAATTCACTGAAAGAACATCTGAGCTGCTATTATCAAGGGCATTTTTATGTTAAAAAAAGCTAAATTATTTAAAGTGTAGAAAAATGCTTTGGTACTGAAAGAAGGTAACTGACAGGACAAAATGATTGCATGTGAGGCTGTCTTTGTAGGCTTATGCAGCCTCCTTTGTAAGGGTCCCAGAGGTCACAGATACCTGACAGATTCACTTGAAAAGTTGAAGCCTGTGTAAGTCAGATTTCTACTACTATACCAAGTACCTGGGGCAGGGGAGAAGGAGCTTTTGAAGAGAATCATATTGGTTTGTGGTTTTAGAGATCTGGTTCAAGTTCAGGTGAACCTCCCAGATTCAATGGTACTTGGTGGCAAGACGAGAGACTATAGCGAGTAAAACTGCTTACCTCCCAGCCAGGAAGCAAGAGAGGGCAAGAGGAAGGGATCAGCTCCCAGGATCCCCTTCAGTACAGTGTCCTGAATGACCTAAAGACCCTCCCCTTGACCTACCTCTTTAGGCTCTCCTCTCCACAACAGAACCACTCTGAATATGAAGATCATAAAATGAAGGTCTTTCACAGGGGATACTGAAGATACAAGCCACAGAAATCCCCATGTGGAGAAAGCCAACAACCCCCCCAAATGGGCTGTGACTTAACACAACAAATTGAAATAAATTATAGAACCACCTAAAGTGAGTCAAGTCATTCCTGTGACAAATTCAAAGCAATTCAGTATAAATCTCCATTTCCATACGATTCCATTTTATTCCTTTTTCCACTCTCCCAGTGTTGTCTTTTGGGTCACACAAATTGTTGCTCTGTAGATTAAAGTTGCCTCAACAATCAACCCTTCTTACCAGGCATGCCATCTCCAACCACACTGAAGAAGTCTGAGAAGTCCGGTTTCAGCAGCCCCTCCCCTTCGCAGACCTCCTCCCTGGGAACAGCATTCACACAGCATCACCGACCTGTCATTACAGGACCCAGAGGTGAGTTGCTCCACAGAGACCCACAAGGTGTAAGCATCGTAATCTTGAGCTCAAAGTAGTGGGAAGACAGTGAGGACTCCCCTACAGTAAGTGATGGAATTCTTATGTTTGAGGGTAGTCTTCGAATTTTAGAGACCAAGGAGATTCGACATCCAATCTTGTTTTTTGTTGTTGTTGTTGTTTTGTTTTTTGTTTTTACGAGACAGGGTTTCTCTGTATTGTTTTGGAGGCTATTGGTCCAGCTCGGCCTCGAACTCACAGAGATCCGCCTGCCTCTGCCTCCCAAGTGCTGGGATTAAAGGCGTGCGCCACCACCACCCGGCTTGGCATCCAATCTTAAGTTTAAAAGACACAAAACCAATTTTTTGGAAGGGGCTATGGGATTTTACAAAGAGGTGGGAAATCAGTTGAGCCGGAATTAAGTGTGCCCTCAAGCTGTGTGCATGCATGTCTCTCTGTGTGTGTGTGTGTGTGTGTGTGTGTGTGTGTGTGTGTGTGTGTGTGTTTGGGTGAATGCTTTTCCCATGTGGTCAGTTACCTATTTCTCAGGTAAATGTTTTTTCAGTCTTCAGTCCTTACCAACTCTCCTTCCCTGAAACCCAATTTCCATATGTGGCATTTCGTGTTGAGGCTGTTGGCATTGGGGTGTTGACGAGTCGTCTTCATTCGCTCCTTTTGAAGTGGTAGATAGTTTGTCTGGTTTCCATTGTGATGTTTTCCTTATTTTAGTCGCATGTGCTTTTAAGTTTATTATTAAAATGTGTCCACAAGAAATATGATTTGTATTTCACATTAAAGACAAGCCTTAAACCTCAAGAGAATGTCAGCAACTCACTTAACTTGAATCTATTGCAAGATGAAAATATTTATTAGTTTATTTATAAAACTCCCACAGTAGGAGTATGAATAACTGTGACCATTTGCACCCTTCCATCAGATTGCCCTTGATGCCTGTGATCTATCTACCAGCTGGCAACATAAAACACCCTGGGGATTTACAGTCTCTTGTCTACTTTGGCATATACCTGGGGAAACTGATATTTGCTGCATTAACTCAATGTTCGGACCACAAATCCAAATCCATTTATGAATACTTTGATAGTCCCAAGGAAATGTGGTACTTGATATAGATGCACAGAGCACATGTGAAAAAATCTCACTAAAAAAATGTAAGTGTTCTGTCATGAGAAGCAATTGCTTAATTTGTTAGGAAATTTGGTTGCTTCATCCTTAGAGATACTGTGTTCACTGATACAACTCTCTCATCAGGATCCCTGGCTCTTCCTCCTGTGTACCAATAGCATAATCATAGAAGCTTACTATATATACATACATATGTGTTCACAGAAATATATATGGTATCTGTATATTGCACATTATATATTTAAACTTGAGAATTCACATGTAAGTAAGCCAATAAATTAGATAGTATTATATCTTCTTATCATTAACATTTGTTGAGCATCTAGACTGTTGCAGGAAATGAGAGGTATAAAGTCATTTTATGTCAGAATATTTATGGTCCAGGGAGATGAACATGTTATTTCTCATTTTTATGGTCAGTTTAACATATTCAAATGCTAACTGAATGTTAAGAACAAATTTTGCTGCAGGACTCAGAGGAGGGGATTATGGACGTTCATTCATTTGTTCATTAAAGATTTACTGAGTTATTGTCACCGTATAGACACTGGGGCCAGTGTTTCCTGTCTTTATAGGACAGAGCTGAAGAAAGGAAATGAGCATTAAGAAAAGTTGGTGTGTAGTAGGCAACTATCACTTTGCATCACATAAAGAGATTTCAAAGACTAGATAGCGTTGAAGTCAAATCTAAAAAAAACTTCATATGAATATCAGCTGTTCAAAACAAAGAAAAAACCCCTAGAAGAGCTGCATGCCAGTCTCCAGGAAGGCTGGGGAGACTGCATCTGCATCCCCACTTACTTTCTGGTTTTACAGTGTCCTTGTCAATTTGAGGAGGCCATACCACTGGGGAATTCACCTTTCTTCTCAAACTCATATTCTCATGTAAAAATTAAAATAAGGTGGTATTTCTGGAAACTCTCTGAAGAGCAAAAACAATACACATATATCATTCCTTATTCAAAAGAACACCAAGGGTACCTATTGTGTGTGTTGGCTACACGCTGCATTTCTGTGAATTGTTGTGGCTACCTAGCACCTACCCCAGGTGCACAATGACTAAGCACTTCTCCTGAATGGCCCATACTGCACTGGGCCAGAGCGGACTTCTTTAGCCCACAGCACATGGACCTTTGACCTCCTGCTTATGTTCATGTTTATAAAATGTATTTGAAGAAAGAGAGGCCTAGTTTAAGAATTATGGAATTCCAAAGATTCTTTGTTTTCACCAAAATTCAAGACAAGACCCATCACCCTCAGTTTTCCTTTCTCAAAAGTTTGCTTGGGTACCCATCCTCACTGTCGCCCTCCTACCCCTCAGGGGTGTCACATAGGCCTTGGAGTAGGGTGATGACACTCTTCAGTTGCATCTCTGTGCTGAGAGTTAAGACAGGCAGTCTAGGGCATTTGTTGGTTAAGACATTTTTTAGGTTAGGATTCTGCCCCTCACGATGGAAGAAGCATTCACTGTGGGCTCTGTATTCCCCTTCCTTGTCCTCTGAACCATGTGGAAAGCTCATGACTACAGCAATACCTATCTGACACTGAGACTGGCATTTTAGGCCAAGTTTACATGAAGCAGTCAGTAGACTAACAGTGAGTGGCAGCTGCATGTGAGCATCTTAAGCCAACTGTGCATCTGCAAAGTCAACACCACCAGACATAGTAAAGTCAGGTTTTCAAGAGTCGATGTGTGTCATTTATCAGGTTCCCAGAGCAAAGAGTTGGGGCTCCAGGTATATGTAATGCTTTCTTGCCAGTGTCACATAGTAAATTCACCAGACTGGTATATTGGCACCGGGCTACAGGATTTGTGCTGCCTTCCCTAAAATCTTTGGTGGCAAGCAACAGTCAGTGAGCAGCAACTGACACATCTCAGTGCTCAGGCCAGAAGCCTGATCTCTTAACAACGCTATGGCAGAGCAAGGTCACTTTGCCTCCCAAAAAGATGGCTCTGTTTTCAACTGCAAGCCTAATCCATATTTGGTAATTTGGTGAGTGTCGTGTACAAGGAAAACCTCTCTGGGTAGAGACTGCAAAGTAAAGGCAGAAAAATTGCACCTTGATATGGAGACAAGAGTATCATGTTTGTCTTGAGATGTGTTGGCTGCTACAAGGTAACACCACTGAGTGGCTTAGAAACAGCAAAAACTTATTCTTCACGTTGCTGGAGGCTGGAAAGTCCTAAGTCAAGGTGATAGCCAACTTGGGGTCTGGCAAAAGTTCACACCCTGGTTTATAGATTCTCAGGATATGGAGGGGCTAACCAGCTCTCTATGGTGGTGGTTCTCAACCTTCCTGATGCTGTGGCCCTTTAATACAATAATTCATGTGGTGACCGCCAACCATAAAATTATTTGGTTGTTGCTTCATAACTGTAATTTTACTGCTTTATGAATGTAAATATCTGATACGTGACTGCTGTTGAGACCCACAGCTCTGTGGCTTCTGTTATAAGTTATCTAGCTACTCCCATCCCTGAGGGTTGCACCCTCATGATCTACTCAACTTCTTAAGGCACCGCCTTATGCTCCAGTTTCTCTCAGATCATGTAGATCCTTTGCCCTTTATTAAATGTCCCGCTGCCAGTACTACCTCCCTGGAATTAAGGTTTCTGCATATGCATTTTGAGGAGACAAAAGCCTCCAGTGTGCAGTGGCAGTTAAGCGCCAAAGCTACCAGGTCCAAGGTGCCAGTGTTTGAATGTGTGCTACCATGCCAACTGTGTGGCTTGGCACTTTGGTTTACTTCTCTGAGGTTGTACACCTAGAAAGGAGTCATTTGCAGTGTCTGGAAACAGATTGTGTGCACACGTTGGACAGTCTAGGTTTCGGATTGTCTCTTTCATCCAGGTTTTGGAAATTTCATGTTATCCCCTACTGCCTTCACCCTATCGACATCTTACCAATCCCCAAACCCAGCTCACACATGGCAGAGCATACATCATCCAGAATGCTCAAGACCATAAGTGCTTGGAATTTGGGATTTGCAACTATATGAACATGTATCATGAACTATCTTGGGCATGGCACTGAGATACATTCATGTCTTATACATATAACCTACAAGCAATTTTATATAGTATTTTAGCATACTTGAGTTTTGGCTACTCCCTGCACATGGGATCAGGTATATTATTATCTACTTATATCCTCTCTGTGTCCAAAAGGTCTAAGGTTTTGACACATTTCAGCCTTGGTACTTTTAGATTAAGGATGCTCAACTCATGTCACTTTGGACATGAAGCCTCCTTATCTGCATCTCCACACCCTCCATAGCCTCCCACAGCTTTTCATGCCTGCACATCCTCTAACTTTGTCTAGCATTCTTAGTCCTCTCTTGAAGATACCCAGAGACAAGGATCTCTCACACATTATGTCTTTGTCCCTCACCAGTAGGTTTTACATAATGGATAAATTTAAAGTAGTTAAGGTGCACATAAACGCACACTCAAAAGAAGACTCCCACCATATCCCACCTAAACCACCCCACCCACACACTCTGATAAGTTCTCATTGCTCCAGAAGAAACATCAAGCCCAAATGTGTGACCTTTCACTTACTGCCTCATGAGGAGCATCCAAGATGGGGGAAGACCATAGCCTGTCATCTAGAGCAAACTGTGAGAGATGGCCTCAGTTAAGCTTTGGTACTAAGAGCTGTGGCTTATTTCAGTTGATGCTCTCCTGGTCACTCTGCTGGATGCATTGTAAAGGTAGAGGCATGTGGTTTCTTCAATCCAATCTCCTCCCTGGCAGTGGCTTTCTTTGTGGTTTTGATGAATCACCTAGTCTTGTGGCCTCAGTTGGACCATCTGTACCTTGTGAATTAATACTTTGACACCTATTCTTCTGTGTG